ATAAATAGATGGTGGTGATAGATAGATGATAGATAGATAGATGAGAGAGGGGGGGGAGGGAGGGAGGGAGGGAGAGAGAGAGAGAGAGAGAGAGAGAGAGAGAGAGATTTATCTTCAGTAACTATTGTTCAGTGGGTTCTATACACACTTTTAGCACATATGGCATATGTTTAAGCAAGAATATTAGAAAGCTAAGTCCTCCGCTGTGTGCAGAAGTTTGTAGTATCAGAATAAAACATGCATAGGAAAAGCAGTAAAGAAGTTTAGATGCAGGAAAATTTATTGGATGAGAACCTCCTATGATGGGACTGTTGCTAGGAACTTCAGAAGTAAGTTTGCTACTTTAGAGAAACAATGGCACTGTATTGACCTTCTCCATTTTAAGACCCTTGCTTCCCCGAAAAGCTCATTTTTTTCTAATCTTACAATAAGATAGCAATGCCTTCTGGCCTGTTGTGATCATCACTGCCCTGAGGAGGCAACAATACAAATCAAATATGAGATAATCATGAAGACTGAGCAAGGACTGAAGGGACCAAAGATGCTGTATCAATGCATCACTTTCAGCACCATGGCCAGCAGCCACGCAATGCTAATCCAACATGCTGATTTTATGAATAGTTCTTTTTCTTTTCCTAAAAAAAAATAAAAAATCCTCAACTATCGTTATTCCAAATTTCATCCTCAGCCTGTTTATAACAGGCTGAGGATGAACATGGTCTTGTTTATCATTATATTTTCTCTTCCCTGATAAGAAATGCTCCTGGAGCTGCAAGATAGTTCTGTTCAAGGCACTGAATGTATGCATATGTCTCTTGATACAATTGCTATGTCAGATAGCCCAGCTTGTATTCTATCTTTTCATGTTTTGGGGGGCTGGTGGTGGAGAGTGAGAGGGAAATCTAAATCTCTGTTGAGAACTAACATATAATAAGAACTGTCTTCCTTCCTGTATAACAGACATAATCTTGTGAGCCTTTCACTTGGCTGTGTCTTTCTAGAAGTCATTTGGAGGCACCCTTCTTTGGCTTCTTTGCTTTCCATATCTTGGATAAAAAAACTCTAGAGTGACTTTCCCAATAAGCATAAATAATCAATGGGAGAAGTTCCGGACTCACCCATATGTTGTTGTTAGTTGCGAAGTCATGTCTGACCCATCACAACCCCGATTGACAATGTTCCTCCAGGCCTTTCTGTCCTCTACCATCCCCTGGAGTCCTACAGCTTCAGTGACTCCATCTAGCCACCTCATTCTCTGTCATCCCCTTCGTCTTTTGCTCTCAAACTTTCCCAGCATGAGGCTCTTCTCCATTGAGTCCTTCCTTCTTATTGGGTGGCCAAAGTATTTGAGTTTCATCTTTAGGATCTGGTCTTCTAAACAGCAGTCAGGGTTGATTTCCTCTAGGACTGACTGGGTTGATCGCCTTGCAGTCCAAGGGACTTGTGGGAGTCTTCTCCAGCACCATAGTTCAAAGGCCTCAATTCTTTGGCGCACGGCCTTTCTTATGGTCCAACTTTTGCAGTCATACATTGCAAATGGGAAAACCATAGCCTTGACTGTACACACTTTTGAGTACTCGCCTATATAATGTAGAGTTTCATTATCCAAGATTGTGAGGCTTTTTAATCCCACAACAAAAATGACCCCCAAGGGGTTTGTTCAAAGTGGAATTAGTGCACTAGGTAAAATCAATCTTAAGGGAGTATAAGTTTTCCAAAATTACACAAGTAATATTAGGGCAGCTAGATGAATGGTTTGATAGAACTTCATGTGAATCTATTCACTTTTCCTAATCTCTTTGGAATCATCTTCATGAACTGCCTTCATGAAAAGATGGAATAAAGTTTGCCAAAATGAGCTGCTATCCTTCATTCCTACAATTGCTGACTTCGACTGTTTTTACTGCTGCAGAAAAGATGCTTCCAGGGAAATAAGGTTTATTAAGCAGCTAAGATATGAAATCGAGTTGAATATTGTTGAAGCCCAAATCCAGTTTAAACTTTTTGTGCGCTCAATTGTCAGAGAAACTGCAAGCACAGAGGTATTCTCTGAACAGCGCTCTGAGATGAAAGGAATGGAAATTGATTGGTTTATTTAATATGCCATACATTTATTAAAATTTAATATTTAAAATTTAAATTATTAAATGGAGACAACAATGCACAAAAAGAATGAAAGTGCCTTTGGTGTTCACCCTACTGTGCATGGAAATAATTCTGTTTTTTTCAAATCCATCTTTAAAAAAGATAATTTAAAATAATATGTGTCTTGTCTTTGAAGAAATTCTGTAGCAGTCTTATATTTTATTATTTTTTTTGCCAGGGGACTTTATAAAGCATTTGCCACATCTGCGTGGAGTCTCAGTCTTATAATCATTATTCAGCTGACTCCTCTGGAACAATGCTGACTTCCTTTCAAAGAAAATTTGGGACATTATGCTATGTATATAGTCTACTATATACTCTACTACTACTTAAAGAGCCGTAGTGGCACAGTGGTTAGAATGCAGTACTGCAGACTAATTGTGTTGACTGCCGACTGCCAGCAGTTCAACAGTTCGATCCTGATTGGCTCAAAGTTGACTCAGCCTTCTATCCTTCCAAGGTCAGTAAAATGAGGACCCAGATTGCTGGGGACAATATGCTGACTCTCTAAACTGCTTAGAGAGGGCTGTAAAGCACTGTGAAGCAATAGATAAGTCTAAATGCAATTGCTATTGCTATTGCTACTTACTCAAGCCCTATCTCCAGGAAGTTACTGCTTTTCTTCTCATAAGTTCTAAATTGACTTGTATTATGGTGACTCTTTGTTAGATTGATCATAACAGAACATTTCCATACAATTGCTAAAAATACAACGTATGGTCATCAGGAGCTCATTCTAATGGAAGTGTTTAGCTTCACACAGTGGTGGGTTTCAAAAATTTTTAGAACCTCTTCTGTAGGTATGGCCTGATTTGTAGGAGGGGCTTGCCGGCCATGTGACTGGGTGGGTATGGCCAATTTGTAAAATGTGGTGAAACTCACTTAAAAACGCTCTTGCTTAGCAACCAAAATGTTGGCTCAGAAACTCTGGCATTTGAAGCATGCAAGTCTTAAAGCTATCAAGTTACAAGACCCTTGCACCCCTAACCCTTTAGAAAAAAAAACCCAGGGGTGTTCAAACTTGACAGCTTTAAGACTTGTGGACTTCAACTCCCAGAATTCCTCCTATCGCTCTTCATCTTGATGGTGTGCGGACGGGTGGGGGGAGGGAGCTGGAACCGGTTCTTAATGACACTGTAGATTTGTGGAACCTCTTCTATAGAAGAGGTTAGAACTGGCAGGAATCCGCCCCTGGCTTCACCTTATAGTACATTGATTCTATTCTCATCTCTTTTGTTTTGGTTGATTTTAGATTATTCTTATCCACATTGTCTTACACAAGTGGTCGTCGACTTACAACAATTCCTGTAGTGACCACTTGAAGTTAAAACAGCACTGAAGAAATGACTTATGACCATATTCCCCATGTACAACCCAGTGGTGGGTTTCCATATTTTTTATTACCGGTTTGCTCGTGCGTGTACCTACACGGAGCCTCCCACCGCCACTACTACCGGTTTGCCCGATCAACCATTTCAGCGTAAGGTTAGTTCATCCCAAGGTCACATGATTAAAATTCAGGCACTTGTCCACTGACTCATATTTATGACAATTGCAGTGTCCCGGGGTTATGTGATCACCTTTTGCTACCTTCTGACAAGCAAAACCAATGGGGAAGCCAGATTCATTTAACAACCATGTTACCAACTTAACAACTGCAGTGATTCACTTAAAGACAATAAGAAAGGTTGTTAAATGGGGAAAAACTCAACAAATGTCTCACTTAGCAACATGAATTTTGGCCTCAATTGTAGTCACAAAGTGAGGAGTACAGTAATATAATTTTAGGTCAGTTTTAGAGCTAAGCAAATATTCCTGAGAAGCTCCTATTCCTATTCCATTCCTACTGTTGGACAAGCTCTTAACCTAAAGGTAGGGAATTCTGGCCCTTTTATGACTTGTGGACTTCAACTCCCAGAATTCCCGAGCCAGGTGGTTTAGGAATTCTGGGAGCTGAAGTCCACAAGTCATAAAAGGCCAGAGTCCCCACCCCTGCCTCAGATCAGGAAAATTAAAGTCTGCCGACACAGAACATGTTTAATAAACACATGGAAAACCTTTTAACACAAGTGGCTGAAAATAGCATACAATAACCCTCCCTCAGAATCCCCAGTTAGTATAGCCATTTATCAAATTGGTTCAGAGGCTTTGAGAGTGTCAGTCTCAAGAAATCTGAAGAGGACCAGCTTTGAGAAAGCTATCACATATGCATTTGCATTTGGTTGCTCCAGCATCTATTTTTATTTTTATGATGTCTATATTTCTTTTTATTTCAAAACCTATCGCCCTATAAGCTAGGATATAAAATCACCAGAATTCATAATCTGACAACCTGGGAGTGCTAGAAAATGTCATTCCGACAGATTTGGTTGGAGAAAAATAATTCTACCTAGTAGCTGCATTCTGATATGTCAACCCATGAAGATCGTGATAACCATAAGGTGGTTTGCTTGAATTTTGGCAAGGGATGGGATATAATAGAATAAAATAGAAAAAAAGAATAGAATAGAATAGAATAGATAGAGTAGAGTAGAGTAGAGTAGAGTAGAGTAGAGTAGAGTAGAATAGAATAGAATAGAATAGAATAGAATAGAATATACAAACAAATTATGACTTCACTCAACATTTGAACCTAGTCAGTAAAGACAAAAGAAATCCTGCTAAATATTTTGATGTTCATTTAAAAGTCATACTTGGTGCCATGAGCTTGTATTTTTCTTTGTTTTTTTAAGGACATAAATACAAAATCTGCTCATGTGCAGAATCTCATTTTCCCATAAAAATGAGCAGAGTTTTACCCAAAAAAAGGGCACTTACATCGTATTGCATTTATGCATTGTGAATCAAGGAAACACGTCTATCGAATATGTTCAGGCGACACCCATAAGAGTGGCAATATTCAATGAAATATTAAATGAAATATTACCTGTTTCTAAAGCAGACTCTGTGTTTCTCTGACTTCTCCCAGCCTGATTGGTAATGGTGTTCACGGGCGTTTTTTTCCCTGGTAACGGCTTCTTCGGAAGAGTAGCAGCTGCCTTTAACCGTTTGGTTATAGTGTCTACTACCCCTTCTAGGGACTTGTCTATGTACAAGGTTAGGTTGGCTAGAAGTGTCTCTGTTTTGGCCTCTATCATGGCACCAGTGAATTCCTGGAAGCCCTTCTGAAACAATAGGCCATCTGAGTGAACGGTTGGCATCAGTTTGGGAAGGCTGGCATTCATTTCTCGAATGGTTCCAGAGACATCCTGACACAAGTTCCTCGCTTCGTTGGCCGTCTTGTTTAAGAGAGGGATGCTCAGCGATAAGCGGATGCTTTTGGCTTCGAGAGCCCTGATTCTGGAATTGAAAGTTTGAAGCTGGAGAGAGACGGTTTTCTCATTTTCTGTGGCAGCCGCCTTCACGTTTCTCACCGAGACACAATTGTTTGCCAGGAATTTGATGATTTTCCCCTCCACGGCCTGCAGACGCATCTCATGATCATTGTATTCATTGCTGGAGTGCAATATTTTCTCACCCGGGTGACCAGTGTCTCTTTTGTGCTCTTGAACATTTAATAATGTGGTGTTTGGGTTGGGGTGACCTCTGCTGAGGTGAGGGATGTTCTGTTCACCAAATGAAGATTCTACAGAGGGCCAAATTCTTTTTGGTTTTTCATTTTGGCTGACTAGTATCTGGAGGGATTCGTTCATCTTTTGAAACTGCGGTATTAACATCAACATGTTTTCCATCTTCTCCCCGCGATCACAGCAAGCTTCGGTCTCATTTTTCCAGGTAATCAGGGTTTCTTTGAGGACATAGTTATCTTGGATGGAATCAATAGCGCGATTCATAACCATCATGGTTTTGTTTAACCCATCCTCCATTAAAACGAAGCATTCATCAATCTGCCTCTTAGAAATTTCATCATGAGCCTGAGCATCATTTTTAAGCTCCTTCTGATTTTTGTGGAGTTCCTCTATGGTGAAGTTCAGCGTTGTCACAAGGCTGGTTAAATTCTCCAGTTTTCTGCTAATCGTATCTGTTTCGAGCCGCAACTCATCCTCTGAGGAAAGGCTGAAAGGAACTCCTTGTTCAATCAAGGGCTGGAGAATCTCCATGTCATAGCAGAGGTCATTAATCTGCTCATTCATTTTCTCCATCTTATCATCCAAGGGAAATATAAGGCTCTCCACAGTTTTATTTAAGGAACGGATATCCCCTTCCACACCCCTTATTTGCATTTGGATGTCACTTTTGCATTTGGACAACACGTTGTCACATCTACCTTGTAGGTCATGTCTCTGGATTTCCAACGAGATGGTTAGGTTATTGATCTTGTTATCCTGGATTCTGAGATCATCGTACAGCTGCAAAACCATCAGGTTCTGTGTTTTCATTTTCTCCTGTAAATTTGTCACGAAATTTGTGAGATTATCATTCATTGATTCAGCAGCTATGGGTACATTCTGGATTGAGCTTTTTTCCGCTGATAACAGTTGTTCATTTGCTTCTTTCATTTGGGTAAGAGTTTTGTTCAGAGAGGCATAGTAAAGATCACTCTTTGAGCGTTGGTGCTCTAAGTCAGCTTCCAAAGATCTCTGGTTTTCTTGCAGTTCTTGGATTGGCTTCTCACATGTAAAGCTTATATCTTCTTCGATATGCAGGATCTGGGTTCGAATGTCTAGTATTTCAACCCTTGAAGGTTTATTTTCAATATCACGGGCAAATCTCTGGCAGGATTTATTCAAACCTTTGACCAAGCCTTTGGTATTCTCAAGATCTTCCGAGAGATCAGAAGTGATCTTGAAAATCTGAGCCACTGTCTCTTGCATGTCACTTTGGAAGGCTTTAAACTGCTCTTTTACGATTTCTTTGATCACTTCAGTCACACCTTTGGATTTTAACGCTATAGGGAAGAGAAAGACACAAAAGCTTTCTTTAATATGAGAGGGAAAACAAAAATCCATTTTTTAAGCAAACCTCAGGATCTCTGTCTCTGTCTGTCTCTCTGTCTCTGTCTGTCTGTCTGTCTGTCTCTGTCTCTGTCTCTGTCTCTGTCTATCTCTCTCTCTCTCTCTCTCTCTCTTTCCCCCACCTAAAACCCATTGTTTTGTCTCTGTAGGTGGCGGGAACGAAACAATGTTTTGTGCAATAACATTTGCACAACGTGTTCCTGGGTGGATTATTGTCTTCGTGGAGTCTCAAAGGGGCTCTGTTTGAATAGCATTTTTGCTAGTCACTCTCATCCTTTTAATCAGTTTTGCTGTCCTGGGGGAGAAGACATAGTATATGCTCCCTCCAATTATAAGCCATGGTGACAGGGTAAAATGTAACCACAGATTCCAGCAGAATAGTCTAAAGTTTTAAAGGAGCTATCCCAATATTCAATCACCCATGTTGGGTGTAGGAAGATCTTCCATCAATAGTACTGATTTTTTTAAAAATGTATTGTTATCTAAACTGCAGTTAAAATTACAGTTTAAGATTTATTTATTTATTTGGAATGAATCTGCTGGATTCCTTCAAAGCAACTTAAAGGAGATTTTAAAATAAAAATGAGGACTATGTGGGAGGGCTCAAGTTGCCAAGGATGGAGACAAACAGTGAGAGACCTGACAGGACCATTATCCAAATGAACTGGCCTCCACTTTTAAGGCTGTCAAATAAGGAGCAAAATCTGTGACCACATTAGAGCAAGCGCAAGGGATGTGAAATTTAAATGGCTGAGGCTGGATGGCTGTACAGTGCCGTAATGGATATTCTTTGTTATGACCACGTCTTGTAAGGGCAATAACAATAATTTATCTTGCTGAGACTCATCCTTGACTCTTCTACTGCTGGCTCCACTGAGTGCCAGCTGAATTTATAGAGAGATTTATGGCTATGCAGCCGGGCTGAAGCTTGGACACTGACCTTGAAATTCTTTCCTTAGGANGGACACTGCAACCGTCATAAATATGAGCCAGTTGCTATGCATCCATATTTTGATCATATGACCATGGGGATATTGCAAGGGTCGTAAGTGTAAAAAACAGTAATATGTCACTTTTATCAATGTCATTGTAATTTCAAATGGTCACTAAATGAACAGTTGTAAGTCGAGGACTACCTGTAAATGCATTGGATTGGTTTATTAGCATTGAAATGGAAATCCCAAGCAGTTATTGTCACATACGCTTATATTAGAAAAGTCAATTGAAAAATAAGGAATGGTTCTCGAGTCATAACAGTGAAGATGTGATTTATGCTTGAACAGTCTGACATTTTGGTTCCTGATTCTGCATTGGCTGTGGATACCTGCATTGTAATAATAGGTAAGTCTGCTTTTCAGTATCATTTTATTCTTGGCCCTTTCCCCCCATAGATTCTTGGCTTGGCCTTTTGACTTCTGGATCAGAAACCACTCACTATGCCCCCTATGAGAGGAGGTTATTATTTCCAAAAGACCTGACATCATGGGACAGTAACATTTTTGTTTGAAAGTGTAAGACCCGATTATGTAACTCTTCTGCTTGTATATGTACTGGATTTTCCATTGTAGCCGATTTCTCCTGGAAAAATAAAAAAGTAGGTGTTGACATGCACCATTCAAAGAAATACTTTACTGAAGCTCTCTATTGCACTTTCAGATCCAGAGCTACCAAGTCATGCTGCTGGACTTCCCAAAAGTGGTTAATTTGCCCACACAAAAGGCAGAATGTTAAGTTGGAATCTGTGGATGAAGGCAACCTCTGTGTCTCAAGTTGACCTTCTCAAGAGCTGCATCCTTGGTACCCATCCGATGTTCTTGCAGATTGTTACCAGATACGAAGACAGGCTGTTCTGCTGCCCACAAGCTCATGGAACAATCAGAGTGTTGTCTAATGTCTAGCTTGTAATTTGAAATGGGTGGGTTGTTTTGATGAAAGTATGTTGCCACGGCCATAAAAGCATCTCTTAATACAGCAAAGCATAAATGTTGTGTAAAGAGTGAAATTGAAAATAAATACCTAATAACACAAACAATGAATGTATATTGTTTTAAATTGATAATGCTGTAGACTAGACCCGTGATGGCGAACCTATGGCATGTGTCCCACAAGTGGCATGCGGAGCCATATCTGTTCGCACGCAAACTGTCAGCACCAGCGCACATGCACATACTGGCCAGCTGATTTTTGGCCTTCCAGAGGGCCGGGGAAGGCCATTTTCACCCTCCCCAAGCTTCAGGAAAGCTTCTGGAGNGTATTTTTTCTTTGTGCCCTAGGAAACATCTGCCGCTACCTAGGATTGAACTCCTAACCTTCCGGGTGGGAAGCAAGCGTCTTCACCGCTAGGCCACAATGCCACTTATAGAAGAATAATTAACCATAAACATCGAAATATATCAATTTATTGTGATAAACAAAGAGAATAAACAAAGCATTCAGCAATAAAGCATTTCAAAATATTGTCACATATATTTAAGGCAAAATTGATCTCTATTTCCAATACGTTGAGTTTTGTCATACTTTAATATGTTGACAAACCAATTCGTTTCCAGGAATTAAAGCAGTTATCTTCATCTTACTAATTAGGGCTAATTTCATAAGGCAGTGATGAAAAATCATCACCTAAATGGTCAAAGTCTTTTTTCTAAACAAAAACAACAACACAGAATTTATTAGACTGACAAAGAATTATTGAGCAACTGCCAAAGGAAGCTTGCTTCTACTTGGTATTGTTGCTCATCTGCTTTTTAAAAATGTATCAAGTGATGGCTGTCAAGGTGCAATAAAAGTAAAATAAATCCCCTTACATATAAATGAATTCTCAGTACACTACAGAAAGAGCTGTTCTTGCTCTAAATCATGTCTCAGTCTGCTAAAATTACTTTTAAGTTCTTTCCTATCTTGTCTTGTAGTGTAATCTATTCTCTTTCAGCTACAGAACTACAGTCTCTCAAACAAAAAGCTATAATGTTACATCTGAATTAATTTCCTTTCATTGAGGTAATTTGACATTCTGGATAAAGTCTAGATCTTTCAACTCATTTCTCTCAGATTGCTTATTTTACCTGTATTCAGGTAAGTGAATTATTAATTACCGGTATTCACTCAATTCAAAGCGAATTATTTTTGCTTTGGAAGAGGGTTATCATCAATTGGTCCAACATTTTTATGTACACCCATAGTTAATGCTTACTTCCCCTACCCCTGCACAGCTCTCCATTATTATTCTGCCTCTCCGGCTTTCCAGATTCAGCTCCCCACAACTGGAATTAGACTTTAAAGAATAGATGAAAAGATGTTTTTAGGCAGCACTAAGTTCTGGAGGTATTTCTGTGGTTCTATAGTTTCTGTCATCATTGATTAGGCGTTCATTTGTCCCCTCTTGGTAGCCTCTCATCTTGTAGCGCCGAATTCTGAACACAATAAAAACACAGATAACCAAGACTACCATCACTGCGATGCAAATCCCCACAATGGCCCCACTTGATAGTGCCAAACTGTCGTTTCCCTGGAAAAGAAGAGCTATTTCCTTCCCATCTGTGCCATTGGCCAACCTCCAGCTCCCACTCTGCCGTATTTTGACCCAGGCTTGGCTACCTTCGGTGCTCACCAGGATCGTTTCAGAAAAGCTGCCATTGGGGGACGGTGTGCGCAGAAAAGGGGGGAGCTTGATGGGAGCCAATTGCTGAGCAAAAAGTGTCCCCGCTTGCAAGCAATAGAGAATTTCACAGCCGTCACTCAGATACGCCTTATGTTGACTATGTCCAGGGGGACATTTCATGGGGTATTTAGTAGGAGAATCTTGGTAGAAAAAATCCTGGAGGATACCAGGGCTTTGCCCCTTCCGTAAGCCTGCCAGAGGATTGCCAGACTGACAGCTGAAGAAGCCACCAAAGGGCACCGCATAGCGGGAGCCCATCTCATAGTCATTGCTGATGCACACCTTCAGATTATCAAACAGGACCAAGGGGAAGAAGTAGGCCGGACAGGTATATGTCCTAGTCACTGGGTTCTCATTCCCAGGACTGTAAAGTCCTCCAAAGAGAAATCCTGAGCTCTGAGCTATTGGACCTGTGGCAGCACACCAATAAGTAAAGAACTTCACTGTGCTGGGGTAGTAGCGGATGCCGCACATATTCTTACAGCACTTAAGCACAAGCCAGCACTTATGGCACTGCTCATGACACTCCATCTTGGGCTGGTTGGCTGTACGTTGCTCTTCATGCAGCAGAACAGCAGAATAGTTCTGTGGGCAAGAGTAGCTGCCAGTCAAAGGGTTCTGGACACGGTAAGCCTGGCAAAGCTCTTCTGTGTCCTGGCCCGAAACCCCGTGGCACTCCTGAAAGATTCCGCCAAAGGTATAATTAGTGCTGGGATTTTGGCACGAGCCATCATCAACATTGGCCTGGAAGTTGAAATTCTTTGAGCTGGGCTCAACGCAGCCCGGGTGGGTGTTGATTGCATAGTAGAGGCGGATAGCATTTTCCACTGTAGTGGCCACTCGATGAACGGTAGGCTCTGGCAATTCAGGTAAGGCATCAGGGGTGATGAAAAATGGCAGAGGAAGCCCTGACTTGCCTATTGCCACTAAACCATTGGGGATGCTCTCCTGCCATTTCTGGAGGGTGATGCCAGGATAGAAGGGCTCACTGCCCCGGCTCTCCAATTTGGAATTTATTGTATTCAGCAGATAGGCCTTAGTCATATTACTCAAAGCTTCCATGGAGGCCCCAATTCCCACATTGACTTTGTGGAAAAAAGTAGCAGAGGCGGATGCAGTGATGCTTGCTTTCTGAGCATCGTTGTCCAGCAAAAACTTCTTTTTCACCTGATCTTCTTGTATGAGGGATGCTCCAGCCTCCACACCTGTGAGGACATGCGTGCCATAGCTTAATACCAGCATTTCTGCCATATACTCAGCAATCCGACTCTGGTTATTCTCTAGCTGGTTGCCTATGCTCACAAGCTGATGACGGAAATCCTTGTGGAAAGTGAAGGACGGTTGAGCTTTCACAGAGTAAACGTGATGCCGTACTTGCACTCTTGTGGTGACTGTGTCATCATAGACATTGTGGGTCTTTGTTTCTTGGGAACCAGTGGAGAACCTGCCATTGAGCACGGTGAGGTAGGAAGCCTCAGCATTGATGGATTCGGAAAATGCATCAGTGTAGGACAGCCAGTCTTCAATAATTTCAGAGTGGATCTCCACTGTGCTCTTCTTGAGGGGCACCACAAAGACATCATTGGGAATGAGGTACTCGCCATCTTCAGTGGTCTGGCATTGGGAGTAGTTGAGGGTCATGACCTTGCCCATCTCCACATTGCGCAAGTTGTCCCAGCCACCTCCAGGTAGGACTTCTAATACCTTTTCACTGAGACCTTGAAGTCTACAAGCTTTGAATCCTGGATCTTCAGCTCTTGCCCTTTCTGTACTCAGCAACACCAAGAGAGGCCAAAGCCAAAACGCCATGGTCAGGGAAGGGAAAAGGCCACTTTACTTGCACAGTCCTGAAAAAAGAGAAAAGTTTCATTATTCAAAAGACTATTTATTATCACTTGAACCAACCTTTTTTAAGCTGATGTCTCCAAATATCAGAACTCATAACCAGCATCATCAAAGCCAAAGCTGCTAGAGGGGGAGAAAAACAAGATAAGATAGCAATCAAATGTTACAAGTACAATTCCTGGCAATTCAGTGAAAAGAGAAATGTGTTTAAATGGGTCTACCCATGGTAGACATAACCAAATGATTTTAAAAACTGGTTTAGTATTGCTGTAAAAGTTAATATATAATCCAATCCTTTCAAATAACATTTTGCTACACATACAGTGCACACACAAAATGACTGCAATACACATAGACCACCACTTGTGCTTTTACAATATATAATCAGCCAGGTTGCTTCTTTGAGTTGAAAAACTCTGATGAACCCAAGTTACAACCTCATTCTGGTTTTCTGCTGAGAATTAGCCCCCTTCTTTACATGGCATAGGCAGAGTGGGGATGGAATAGCAGCAAAGTTGAAGCAGCTGTAACCACAACAGCTCTCTTCCAGTACTTGAGGGGCAGAATGAAATGATAGCATACAGAGATAATATGAAACAGTTGCAGAAAGTCACTAAGATAAGGGGAGGGGGGTTATTCTCCAAAGCTCCTGAGGGTAAGATAAAAAGCAACGGGTGGAAGCTCATTAAAAAGCGATCCAACCTAGAACAAAGGAGAAACTTCCTGACAACGAGAACAATTAATCAGTGGAACAGCTTTGCCTTCTCAAATGCTGGAGCATTTGAGAAGGCAAAAGACAGACTGGACAACCATTTGATCTGGATAGTGAAAGCTCCTCCTCTGCCTTGACCAGGTAGTTGGACTCGATAAACTCCAGCCCTGGTTCTATATATTTTGATTAGTAGAATATCTTTAGCTACTTGACCTCCAAGGGCCATGCATAAGCGCACCAATGTGCCTGCCATCCCTGCCCTAACAACCCCATTTATTCGTATCCATTTTCATGTATTCATAATCTTGTATAAACTTATATCTATTATCCTATACACGCTTGAATTCTTACATCTGTTATCCTATACACGCTTGAATTATTCGCCAAGTGTGATTGGACACCCAAGGAATTTGTCTTTGGTGAATATACTCTCAGTGTACATAAAAAGAAATGATACATTCATCAAGAATCAGAAGGTACAACACTTAATGGTAGTCAAAGGATATAAATAAGCAACCAAAATGACAAAACAAACTAACTAACAAACAAAGGTTGGACACATTTAAAACTCTGCAAACCTTCTGAATTCTTTGGCCCAAGCTGCCTCTGAACTTTGGAAA